GAATTAATAATAGGTCTTCATAGTCAAAAGTGATGAGAGGTAAGGAAAGAATCATTCTGCCTCACTCATCCCTAGCAGCAATTAATTTTGACGGCTATAGAAGGGAATGAAAGGAAGTTGTATTAAAAATACACTATTTTGGGACCAGCAGATAGCATAATAGTTATGTCACTGGACTCTCACATAGTTAACTGTGGTTCAAATGCTGGACTCGGAGACTTAAAACTCACACTGGGCATGTATGCATGTGTGCTCAAAATCCCAAGAGGAGAAGGGATTGTAGTGTGGTTCTCTCCCCTGGGTAGTGATTTATTGCTTTCTGTCTCCCTGTCTGTCTGTCTCTTTCTGGTGAGTGTGGGCACCTATAGCAAAAATCTCTCTTAAAAAAAAGTATGCTCTATTTTAGAGCCTCAATGGGGGAAAGACTGCTTACAATTAATACAGGTCACTGAGTCTGGTCATTTAATGTCTTTTTAGTAAAGGAGAGTTCAAGGGATAGCAAAAGGATGAGTATGAGAAAAGCAAAATTCCAAATAGAGGTAAAAATATTCTCAAAAGTGGTAAAATTACCTGAAAAGAATCAAGATGAATATTAATTTGCATTATATTCTCAATGGATATTTACTTCAAGTAAAGAAAAAGACAAAAGTGAACAAACTTCACATACTTTGTAGCATCTGAAGAAATACAGCAAGCTTTATTTTGCTTTACAGGTTAATTTGCTCTCTCCCAATCAGGGAAAACCCAATTAAGATGAGAATATCCACAGCAGTATAGTACTTCCATATCGTGGAGAGTCAAAGCACTTTTCTGGAATTCCTGTCCAGTGGGCCTTATGTGTTGCACAAATTAACAAGTTCAGGCAGTTTTCAGTGTTGGAAGACTGCTTGCTGCTGATAAAACAGAACCTCTAAGTCAGTGGGGAAAACATCCTTAAAAAATTCACCAAGTACAAACAGCCTATCTATTTGCCTTCACTGTTTTTTTTATTTTAATTAACTTTATTTATTTTTAATTTGACCAGAGGGGGACAGAGTGAGAGAGAGAGAGACAGTGTGCAAGTAAGCCGCCAAGTCCAAGACTCAAAATGTGGTCAGCTGTGTGGGAGTCCAGCCCCCTTAACCAACACACCACCTGCTGGCTCCTATTTGCCTCCACGTTTAATAGTTTTTGTTGTTATTGTTTTTTAACAATATCTTGAACTTCTTAAGAATGATCAGAGATTAGGGTTCAGGACTATTGGAACAGACCTTGGAGAAAATGTGATAAATTCAAAAGAAGGAGAACAGAAAAGCTCTAAGGGAGGCTGTAAAATGCCTAAACTTTGGCATCAAAGCAAGCTCTGTAAAATTCTGGCTCTGCTCCTTATAATTTATATACAAATTAAAATGCATAGTACCGTATCTAGTATATAACATACTTCAAAAAGTCTGTGGAAAAATGGAATGTACCTATGAAATTATTTTAGTACAAAAATTTCCCGAAATCCGTGTTTTTTTTTTTCACAATACACATTTTCCATGAACTTCTGAAGATCCCCCCATATATTTTGGCTCTCATTACTTTTTGTATAACCTATATGTGGAAGTGTGGCATCTGAAATAATTTGAAAACTGCAATTCAGAGGTATCTTTGGGGTATGGTTAATGATATAAAAAATGTGTATCTCATACTTAAGCATAAACTGCTTGTTAGGAATGTCCAATTAAGAAGGAATGATGAAATATTGATTAGACAGATGTAGTAATTGACTATCAAAACAGGAATGCCTTTTTTTTTTTTTTGCAGTGATTTTCGCTATAGGGCGCGTGCGCTCGCCAGACAGAGACATAGAGACAGAAAGCAAGAAATCACCCCCCAGGGGGGATGGTCACGCCGCAATCCCTTCTCCTCCATTCTCCTCTCGGGATCTTGGGCACGCACGCACACGCGCCTGGCGTGAGTTTTAAGCCACCGGGTCCGGGACGCGAACCGCAGTCGACTACGTGGGAGTCCAGTGACATAGCCATTATGCTAACTGCTGGTTCCCCAGGAATGCTTTTCAATAAATTACAGGATCTGTAACTAGACTTGTGCATGTGTGCCACTTGCTCAGGTCTAAGCACATAATAGGAATTATCTGTGTGTTCAGTTACCTCACTGCCTTGTGAAGAGTCCAAAATTTACACAACTGTTACTAGAAGTTCTTAACCCATTTGTTTTTGTTGTTGAAGGCTAGTGGAAAGAGTTCTTGACTGGACGGTGTTATGAGAGAACTCGGCCCTTGCTTCTTCGGGGTCACTAACGTTCCATTTACTGCAGGTTAAGATATTTAATCTCATAGGTCAATCTCATCACTGAAAATTTATTCCTGAAGTGTATTACTATATATACTTTTAAACCCTCACTTTCAGTATTCTTATAGGAGACTACAAGAATCACTTCATCTTTAGAGAAAAAAAAAATTCTTGCTAGCAGTTAACTCAGTAAAACCAAAGCTGGAAGGAAGGAATGGTGGAAGGATTATCACCCACAGTCACTCAGTAAACTGCAGAATGATATAAATGCTTCATGTGCAGCAGGAGAAGCGGAGATGCAGCAAGGTCTGAAAATACTGGCCTGGCTTATTTTCTTCATCGAGCTTTTTCAAGATTCAGACGAGATGTGCTATGTAGAAATACCTTCTTTCATAACTCTGTACTGCTATTCAAGGTACTACACCTGGGTTTGTGATTTCATGTTATGACTAAAAACACTGCTTGTAGGAAATGCCTTTTTTTTTTTTCAAAAAAGCTTAGTCAAATTTGCTTGGAAAATAGTCAAATCTTTCAGATTCTGCTACAATTAATACACATATTCATGGCATTACTCTTGTACCTGTAGATGTGATTTTTACTCCTCTGAGATCTCATCAGTTGTTTTATGATGCCTCTTTCAGTTCACCCACAGTAAATAAAAGTATATCTATTTACACAGTTTTCATCCCCCTTATAAACTTTTGCTGACCAAAGGCAGGTGAAGGCTTTAGAGAGAAAACTAGTTTATAGTAAGCAACCAAATAAACACTCACAGGAAGCTATTTTCCTAAGGACCTAAGTTTTATCCAATGAAGGCGGAAGATTAATCATCTTGGCCATTCTACCCCTAACAGAAATGAATACTTGTTTTGTCAGAGTAATAAGAAAATAAAAGAAACAAGAGAGCAATAATATGGTCTTGGCTTGCCTGTACATGAGGGGGAAATGCCCTTCCAAATCCTGCAGAGAAACTGTTTAACCCTGAAGCAAAAGATTTGATTCTAATCATTATCTTAACATTAGTAACTGCAAAATTAGGCACCAGAAATTGACCTAGCTACAGTATTTAACATTAGGATCTTAGGAAGCAGTCGCACTTGCATATTTCTAAAGACTACAAATCTTTTTATCTTAAACCTAGCTTTTATTTCTTCACCTTGTGCTCTATTTAAAAAAACAACAAATCTGAGACTGGCTATAAACAGACGAATGCACAAAATGACAAGAACCACCTACCCCTAAATCTTGTCATGTGCCTTTTTTTTTTTTTTTTTTTTTAGGGGTTTTTCTTATAGGGGGTGT